GGGGGCGGGGCCGGGGGAGGCGAGGCGAGGCGAGGGGTGGGGGCCGATGGGGGCGGGTCCCGCGCCCCTCCCGCACCGGCTCGATCCGCTTCTCAGCGCTCGGAAACGATTCCCTGGGGCAGGGCGCTGGAAGGGGTGCTTTAGCGCTTTAGGGTGCAAGTCACAAATTGCTTGACCTCCCTTCCTCTGCCTTCCCTGCTCCAGAGTCGGCGCCCCCAGCGCTGGCGGCGTGCGGCGGGGGCGCGGCCAGGTCCCCCAGACGCAGGCCGGGGCGGACCGCGGGGCGGGGCGCGGCTGGAGCTGCGCACCTGCGCGGGTCCCTGCGTCTTCCCCGGCCCTGCGCCGCCCGGCCTCCTCCAGGCCGGTGGGCTTGAGCGCTAAGCACGGCCGGCCGGAGAGGGACCCGGGAGCGCCCTGGCGACCTGCGCTGAACTCAGGTTTCCCCCCAGCGCTGGCGGCGCGCCTGGCTGCCTTTAAGCCGCTTTCCCGTCCCCTCCCCTCGAGGAGTCCCGGCTGCCCTCCCTGCGGGTCCAAGTGCGCACCACGCCACTTCTTGAAGCGCTGGCGACAGAAACCTGGTCCCGCAGAAACAAGTCAACGCCCTGCACGGCCCGCGCCCCCAGCCGGCCTTCGTCGCTAGTCACAGCCGCTCGGAGCTGCTCTGGGCTGTCCAGGTCCCGACCACCGGGCTGCCCGCTGCCGCCTCCCCGCCCTCACTGTAGTGCGGGGCTCTCCTGGAGCTTGTTCCCGCAACCAAGTCCTCCTGGCTCAGGCCGCCGCGTTCCTGTCCCCTCTGCTTGCTATCCCCTCAACAAGGGACACTCCTGCGCATGTCCACATGGCTTGTCCCTTCCCCCTTCAGGTTCTTTTGCCCATGAGCCCTCCCGGAGCACTTTCTTTACAATCACAGTTTCTAGCTGAGCGTGGTAGCACACTCTGAGAGGCTGAGGCAGGAGGATTGCCAGTTCCTATCCAGCCTGGGCAATTTATCGATTTGGACCCTGTGTCAAAGTAGCAAAAGGGCTGGAGATGCGACTCAGTGTGAAAGCCCTGGGTTCAGTCACAGCTTCTTATCCCACGGTGGCCTGTCCCTTTTCATGCTTTATATTCTGCTTAGTGTTACTGTCTTCTGACTTACTCTGTTTTTCTTATTTATTTTTGTTTATTTCTCTGCCCAGTTATCTTCTCCATTGGGACACCTAGAACGTCCCAAGATGGGCAAAGATATTTATTGGTTTTATTCACTCCTAGAAGAAAGCAAGGGCTCTTCAGGTGTGGTGGCCTGCACGCATAATCCCAGCCCCCAGGAAGCTGAGGCAGGAAAATTGCCACAAGTTCGACTGTAGCCTGGATTACATAGTGAGTTCAAGACCATGGGCATGGTGGCACAGGCCTGCAATCCCAGCACTCAGGAGGCTGAGGCAGGAGGATCGTTGGGAGTTCTGACCAGCCTGGGCTACAAAGTGAGTTCAAGACCAGCCTGAACTGCATAGCGAGACCCTGTCTAAAAAGAAAAAAAAAAAAAAAAAAAAAAAGACCAGCCTGAACTACCCGGAGACCCTGTTTCAAAACACAAAACAGCGGGGTGTGGTGGCACACGCCTGTAATCCCAGCACTCGGGAGGCTGAGGCAGGAGGATCGTTGCGAGTTCAAGGCCAGCCTGGGCTACAAAGTAAGTTCAAGGCCAGACTGAGCTGCATATCGAGACCCTGTCTCAAAAAGACAAAAAACAACAACAACAAAAAAAAAACAAAAAACCCCCACAAAACACAGATAAAAAGAAACTGAGGGCTCCCTCAGTGAGGTAGAAAAAACCTTCTTGAACTGGGTTTGCTTCCTATTCCCAACTCCTAGGCAGCCGGCCACACCTTCTCCCATTCCCAGGCCTGGGGAGGCAGAAGTTGCAGGTAAACAGGGCTATGAAAACCAGGGTCCTGCTTTTTACATGGGCAAAGGTCTTGGGCTGGGCTGGGAATGCCCAGCTGGAGGGCCCGGCTCGCGATGGGTGGGGAGGCCCTGCAGGAAGTTTGAGTAGCCCGGGTACCGTTTGGTGGACTGCTGGCCGCTACAGTTCCCTGGTTAGTGGGTGTGCCTTTGGGCAGAAGGAGCGGTGGCAACCCCAGGCAGTGTGTGAGGAATCGAGGTCAGATTATTTTGGCCACAGAGCAGCCCCACATGTGCCAGGACTGAGAGCCGTGACCTGTGGCTGGGCCCTCTCACTGAGCTCCATCCCCAGTCTTTTTAAAAATGTTTTATTTTGCGGGTCTTGACAAGTTGCTAGGTTTCCCAGGCGGGGTTCAAACTTGAGATCCTCCTGCCTCAGCCTTGTCAGAGTGCTGGGATGACAGGTGTTCACCATGGAGTCCCGCTGAGCTCTGACTCGTGTCGCCTGGGGAAAGTCACGTCAGCTCTACTAACTGCGCTTCTTCCCTGTAAAGGGAAGAAAATGTTGTCAGCGATGTATGCGTGACTCACCTCCCAGGCTGCGGTGAGAACAGCCAGATGGTCATGCAGATGTATGAGAGCCGGTGCGGGGACAGCGGCTGTGACCTGGCTGATGTCACTGTGCGGGGTCGGGAGGCCCTGCGTAAGCCCTTTCCTTGCTGGAGCCCGAGGTGCCTAGGTGCGTCCTGGGCCGGGGGCTGGGCCACAGAAAATTGGACCCTGCCGAAACTGACCTGCCTGGCAGGTGGGACCGACCTGCGTGCCCAGGGGCCAAACTTCAGGCATTCTGCAAATAAGACTTTGGCTCGGGGCAAATGGCGCACGAATCGGCTTTGAGCTTAGCCTCTGCCAGGGAACTCAGCAACAGACACATGACCCCATTGAGAAATGGGCAAAGGGAATCAAAATCAGAGTGACACACCGCCTCACTCCAAGCAGACCGGCTGCTGTCGGAGAGACATGATAACAAGCGCCCCGTGGGGATGTGGAGCAAACGGAACCCTTGGCCACGGTTGGCGGGAATGTAAAGCACGACATCCACCATGGAAAACATCCTGAGGTTCCCCTAAAGCTAAGAATAGACCTACAGTGCGATCCAGCAGGCCCCCTCCCGGATATGTATCCAGAGGGGAGGACACTGGGATGTCAGAGGGACATCCGCACACTCATCCACCACACCTCCGGTCACAGCAGCCAAGCGTCTGAGGCACAGCTAGAGAGAACGTATACGCTGATACAGTGGAATATCCTACAGCCATCAAAAGGACAGAGTCTGCCGGTCGTTTGGGACACCGATGGCCCTGGAGGACATTATGTTTAATGAAATAAGTCAGGCATGGATAGACAAATACTACGTGATCTCATATGTTGAATCTAAAACAGCTGATCTCGTAGAAGTTGAGGGAATAGTGATTATCAGGGAATGAGGAGGGTGAGGGGTAGGGAGAGGTTGGTTGCCAGGTGCTGAGCTATAATTAAATGGGAGAAATAAGGCAGGTGACTACAGTTCTTATACTGACCGCTTTAAAAAGGCTATAATAGGAGAGGCATGCTGGGGCACGCCTGCAATCCTAGCACTCCCGAAGCTGAAGCAGGAGGACTGCCGGAAGTTCAAGGCCAGCCTGGGGCTACATAGTGAGTTTAAGGCCAGCCTGACTACAGAGCGAGACCCTGTCTCAAAAAACCCCCAACTAGATAAATAAATAAAACTCCCCCAAATCCAAGAACATCAGCAATGCCAAGTGTTGACAAGGAGGCGGGGACATCGGGACTCTCTGGCCCCGGTGGTGGGAATGTAAAAGTGGCACAGCTGCTTTTGAAATCAGCTTGGCAGTTGGTCCAAAGGTTGAACACTTAACAGGACTCAGCAATTCCACTGTAGTTGTTTATCTAAGGAAACAGAAACCCAGGCTCACACAAGAAACTTGTACACAAATGCCTCCTGCACAGTTGCTCAAAGTGCAAACACCCTAAATGTCTGTCAGTGGGATAGATAAACACATTGTGGTGTATCCACACTGTGGAATATTACTCACCTGTGAAAAGAATAATGAACAAATACATGCTGCACCATGGGTACACCTTGCAAATGTCATGGTAAGTGAAAGAAGCCAGACACAAAGGACCACCTACTGCATGATTCTATTTATAAAAATATCCAGAACGGGAAAACCTGCAGAGATAAGCAGGTCAGTGGTTGCCAGGGGCTGGGGGAGTGTTCTGAAGGAACCGGGGTGGGGGCGGCTGCTAAGGGGCACAGGGTATGTGTGTGTTCTATAGTTGATTGTGCTGTGGTTACACAACTCTAAGTGCACTAAACCGCTGGAGTTGTGCGCTTTGAATTGGTGAGTTGTACCGTTTTTAAATCACGCCTCAGTAAAGCTGTTCATTAAAAACTGAGGTGCTGCCAGGGCTGCGGTATGTGTGCCTGTGAGGGTGTCAGCCCAATGTTGGTGCCTGAGGGTGGGTCACTGTGTCTGAGCAGAAAGTGCTGGGAGTGGGAGGGAGGGCTGCGGCTGAGCATCTTCAGGCATCGCGGACCCTGCTGTCCCAAACTCTCTGGGCCTCTTGTCCCAAAGCTGTGGCCTGAGCCCGCTGGGACCAGAGTTCCCAGGGTGACCTGCAGCAGGGACGCAGGATGTGACTCCGAGGCTAGGCTGGTGCAGGAGGGCAGGCAGGGGCGGCGGAGA